TCCAGGAAAATGCCAATAGAAAGATTTTTGTTATTCATTTCATTTAGTATATGCTGAGTGAAGTCAAGAATAGCAAGCTCAGTTGAGTGGTTGGGTCTGAATCCGTATTGGTTGTTGCAGATAGTATTGTTGGAGCAGAAGAAATTAGAGAGTCTTTTAAAGAAAAGTTTTTCAAGAATTTTTGACAGCGGGGAAAGAATGGAGATGGGTCTGTAGTTGTTAATGTCATCTTTGTTTCCTTTCTTGAATACTGGTATGATTTTGGCTATTTTAAATGAGTCAGGAAAGATTCCAGTGCTTAGTGATAAGTTGAAGATATGATTAAGTGGTGATATGATAGAGAAAATTATGCTTTTGATAAGGAACATGTTGAGTCCATCGTCTGCATAGCTCTTTTTGTTTTTCAAGATATTAACAGTAGTTAATATTTCTTGTTCAGTAACAGGATATAGACAAATGGAATGGGGTGTGGATGGGCTCATAAAATCTGTAGGACTACCATAGCTGGGAGGTTGGTTTGAGAGTAGTTGACTAGCGGTGTTTGCAAAGTGGGTGTTGAGAAGGTCACATATTTCTTATTTATTTTCAATTGCTTGGTTGTTGATAGTTAGTTTGGTGATTGATGAGTTAGGAGGTTGCTTGTTTAGAATTTCTTTGATAGTGTTCCATTTTTGTCCAACATTATGTGCGTCTTCAAGTTTGTTAGAGAAGTAGTCTGTTCAGTTTTTCGTTTAATAGATGTGAACTTGTTTCTGAAGCTTTTGTAGGTGGCAATGTTGCGGGTGGTTGGATATTTAAGGCTTATGATGTATAGTTTGTTTTTCTTTTTTGCAAGACTTAGAATGTTGTCATTGATCCAGCATTTTTTCTTTTTGTTTTTGACAGGACGGAGGGGGGCAAAAGTGTCTAGAGAGTGAGTTAAGATAGTATTCAAAACAGAGCAGCAGTCGTTGACATTTTTTAGAGAAGTCAAAGAATTCCAGTTGTGGTTCGATAAGAAATTGTTGATGTTGTTTATAGATTCTTCAGTTAGATTTCTGAAGTGCTTAATAGGGGCATGGTTTGAGATTTCTGATTTGGAAGCGATGGCGAATATAGGGAAATGGTCAGATATGTCAGACAGAATTATTCCAGATAAGTGAGGAGTTAGATTGTTAGTAAAGATATTGTCGATGAGTGAGCAAGAAGAAGTTGAGATGCGAGTAGAGGAGGTTATAAGAGGTAAGAAGTTGTATGATGATATATATAATTTTATATATATATATATATATATATATATATATATATAATTTGGTATGAGGTTCTCAGATAAACATGTTCGGTTAAAGATTACACTCAATTTTGCAGCCAGAAGCTTTTTAAACAAAATTTCAATTATATAAACAAATAAAAATTATATTAAACAAAATATATATATACATATTTAGTCTACATACGTATATCCATGGTTGTTAGATTGGAGAAAAATGTATTTATAGAATTGGCGTAAATTAAAGTTTTGACAAGGTTTTTCATGGTTTTGATGGCTTCAATTAGTTATTAAATGCTATTGATTTTTCATAAATTAAATTTCTTTCTTTTTTGAAGCGGAAAAGAGCGTCCAAGCTAATCTGGTCAAACTATTGATTTGTGTCTCGTCTCGCGTTTGTGAGTTTACCATTTTTCCGCTTCATAGTTGCTTAAATATTAATTTTTAAATTCAAAATATCATTTAAAAATCATTTTCAACCATCCATCTTTCATTTTAAATAGGCTTAAAGGTTTTTCCTTTCCGATTTTTTTTAAAGTTTTCCAATGTATTTGTTATCTGCCTTGTACACGTGGTAAAGCCTTATTAGTGTACATACCGACGACGACGTGTGCCGGATTAGGCCATTAGTGTATTTTTTAGTCGGATGGGATGATAGGCAGTAGACGGCATTAATGTTTTTTTTTTAAATTTATTTTATATATTATTTTTTTTATTGATATTCATAATTTAATACATAAACAATGAAATATTAACTAATAAAATTAGATTATTGTTTTTTCTATTTTAAATGCAAGTGTCACTATTATTATCTTATTAGTATTTTTTTATAGTTTGTTATTATTGCTGTTGCTATTGTTATCTATCTGTTATTTTTATTAGTTTCATTTGTTAGTGAAGTTTATTTTTAGTAATTAATCTGGAATGCTTGCATTGAATGGGATGGGGCTGTGTACTGTACATGTTCATATTGTAGCCTTTTATTAAGCCCATCCTATCCATCCATCTATCCATCCACTGTTAATAAAAGTTTGTAAAATGCAAATTCTTTTCTCATGGGGATTGTACTTTTATTCAAAACTTCTATTGCTGATTCTTGATAATTATATATTTGTGTGTATGTTTGTATATGTGTGTGTGTGTTTATTTTTATGTACGTGTCTGTGTATCTGTGTGTACCTGGATTATGTATATATGAATGTGTATTTATATGCATTAAATAAAGATTTATAAAAATGTATAAATCATATGATTTGACCTATGCTGTGATGAGGTGTTCTGTTATCTTTGTTATCTTTGTTGTAATTGTTGCTAGTGTGAAATTTGCCATAAACAATTATTTGGTTACATTTTTCATTCATTCATTCGCTGGGTTACATTCATTCATTTATTCGTTCATTCATTTATTCGTTCATTCATTTGTTTGTTGGGTTACATCCGTTCACTCACAGGCTGAAGATTTATGTGATGAAGATTAAAAATAAATTGTTGTACCAATCCACAGTAATGTAATTAGTTATATTGTTTGGTTTCGTTAATTATCATCATTGTGTCGTCTTCATCAAAGGTTAAAAAGGTTAAAGGTCAATTACACTCTTCCAAAGTTCAGAGGATTCAACATGGATGCATGCTGCGCAGAAGCATGTGATAGGCAGGGATCTTTTTATTATATTTAAATCTGGTTACTGGGAAAAAGCACCAGGCGAATAACAAGGGTAACGAAAGGTAAAAAAAAAGTGACACGTCTATTCATTAAAGTCATTAATCATACCACTTATATGTATAAATTGCCACTTTAATCATTTTTGTCTGATAATTTTTATAACTTTATCAATGAGAAGGATATGTGATAAATTCGAGTGATAAAAGTTAATTCAAATCTTTGATCTCGAAAAAAAAATGAGATTAATTTCTGACAGTGAGGAATGATAATAAAACACCTTTGGTTTTATTTTTGTTCTTCTGTTTAATATATTGTAATTAAATAAAAAACAATGTTTCCGTAATATATTACATATTTTAACCTGTCAATGCATTTTATTTCTGTGTACACCTAAAAATATTGAAAAAAATCACAACTGTTAAATAGCAAAATTATGCATTTTCTGCAAGCTTTTCGATATACACGGTCTTGGCTTGAAAATTTTTAATTTTCGATTTTTCGTATTTTTCCGGAATGTACCTACCGTGTAAATTGGGGGATAAGTGTATAAATGATTGGGCACTTATCAGATTCTGGTTTTTCAAAGAGTATGCATTTTCTGCAAGCTTTTCGATATACACGGTCTTGACTTGAAAATTTTTAATTTTCGATTTACACGTTTTTTTCAGGAATGTACCTACCGTGTAAATTGGGGGATAAGAGTATAAATGATTGGGCACTTATCAGATTCTGGTTTTTCAAAGAGTATGCATTTTCTGCAAGCTTTTCGATATACACGGTCTTGACTTGAAAATTTTTAATTTTCGATTTACACGTTTTTTTCAGGAATTTACCTACCGTGTAAATTGGGGGATAAGTGTATAAATGATTGGGCACTTATCAGATTCTGGTTTTTCAAAGAGTAATAAAAAATGTTTGTACTTATGCATTTGTGTGCGTGCGTGTATGTGTGCGTGCGTGTATGTGTACGTGCGTGTATGTGTGCGTGTGTGTGTGTCTATACATACATTCAAAGGTGGAGACAAATTTGTTTACAAATAAATAAAAATCTGAGTAGTTAAATAAGGTGACCTTTCCATATGGGCTATGATGGTTATTATTATTTTTGTTTTTATTATTGTTATTATTATTGTTGCTGTCTCTTTAATGATGAATGAATGAATGGATGATTTAATGAATGAATGAATGAATGAATCAGTGGATGGATGGATAACTAATTGACTCATTAATTCATTAGATTAATTAGGCTATTCAAGTGCTTCTACTGCTATTATTATTTAATTAATTAATAATTATCAATGTCGTTTTTATTTGATTTTGTTTTACTTTTAAAATAAATTTATTTTAAAAATCTAATTATTTAAATTCAAAAATATGTGGTCACCCTTTTGGTTTTGTACCTATGCATATTTTATCAAGTCACAATTCAGTAAAAAAAAAATTGAAAGTATGACATTTTGCCGACATTTGAATATTTTAATTTTTAAAATTTTTTGCACTTCTTTCAAAGATCTCTTTAGAGTGAATTGTTATCAATTTCATCATCAACACCAATAACAACAACCATGTCAAAGCAAAAATACCAAGTGACATCAGAGGAAAAACAACCACCACCACCACAACAACATCAAACGCACTCATCGCAAAAGAAAACCCAATCTGCCCTTAAGCCTCTCCCAGAAGATAAAATTGGAGATTTTAAGGACCTCTGTGACCTTGAAGATGAAGAGGAAAGTATTTACGAGGTTCCTCTACCCCCGGACGGTGGGTGGGGTTGGGTTATTATGATTGCCTCATTTTTCACCAACATGATAGTCGACGGCGTCTGCTATACTTTTGGTATTGTCTTCATGGGCCTGATGGAAACCTTTGAAGCTGGGGAAACGATTACCGCTCTCGTTGGGTCACTCGTTCCCGGAGTCTATCTAATCGTTGGTTAGTTTTAGGATCGGTTTTAGGGAATGTTTGGTTTATAGTCTTATTTATTGAGTGATATTCTGGTTAATTCATTTATTGATTAACTCCTGGACCCCCGGACCTTTTCCCAAACACACAGGACCGATAGTTAGCGTCCTTATGACAAAGTTTGGTTGTAGACTGGTTGCCATCGTAGGCAGCTTCATTGCATCCATATTCTTCTTTGTCAGTGCGTTCTCCACCAGTATCTACATGATGCTCGTCTGCTATGGAATCATGGGAGGTGAGCTTCAATTACGATGGTTTACGAGAATGATGGTGATGATGGTTTTTAGAATGGACATGATACTTAGGACTAGTAACAAGCATGAAGTTAGTAAAATAAATCTTCTCAACTCCTGACCAAAAACACTAGGCGTGGGATTTGGCCTGATGTATCTGCCCTCCATAGTGATGGTGGGGTACTATTTCGATAAGAAGCGTGCCCTGGCGACCGGGATCGCCGTCTGCGGATCCGGAATCGGCACATTCCTGTTTGCCCCCATCGGGTCGTTCTTGGTTGAGACGTACGGTTGGCGCGGCTGCAACATCATCATGTCGGCGGTCATTTTGAATGGGGTGGCCTTTGGCGCTTGCTACAGACCACTGGTTGGTGAGAAGAGGAAGAAAGAGAGGGTGCGTAGCGGGTCTGCCACGCCGTCGGGGGTCAAGTACGAAACTGGTGACGTCAGCAATCGGCTTCAGATTTATAAGGGTTTGTTTTTGGCATGATGAAGAAGATGGTGATGACATAGACGATGATGGTGATGATGAAGATGATGATGATCTAGACGATGATGAAGATGATGATGATGTAGATAATGATAGTGGTTATGATAGATATTGCGTTGAAAGGCCACAAAGTAATTATTTTTTTTTTATTTTTAAAAAAGAGCCACTTATAAAAAACTCCAGCATATTAGATGGAGGTAGCTTATAACCAAAATGACAACAATTCAAAAACATCCACAAACGTAATGGTGTATAATAATCAAATAACAACATGGTGATTGTATGGCGTCATCATCATCATCGTCGTCGTCATCACATTGCACTCATCACATCAGCTATATAGCATCACGTACTAATCACCGCACCAACAATTACATCACATAATTATAATAATATGACTCATTTCTGCATCACGCACCTGTTACATCAACTCGAACATCGTCACACACGCACACAGACAAACATACAAACAACAACACACGCAAACACATACAAACAGTAACACACAAACACACACAAACAACAGCACACACAAATAACACGCACAGGCAAAAGGGATAGAACAATTTCAGAGCGGTCGACATCAGACGGCGCTGTCATAACTGTGGAGAACGAGGTCCTAAATGAAGCCGGGGACAACGTGACAGCTGTCAATCTCACTTCGACCACGCCCACCGCTAAAACTTACACTGGCTCTACCAATAAGGTAACCTCGTGGCTTAGGAGCCGACTGGGGTGATGATTAGTGAATGGTGATTGGTGTCGTCTTTCGTGGTTTCCATGCTGTCATCTGCTGACTGACTGCTATGATTAGCTGACTAACACAAATATACACGCAGACAAACACAAAAATATGTGAACATACAAACAACCAGACACGCAGACAAACAAAAATATGCGAACATACAAACAACCAGCCAGACACGCAGACAAACACACAACCAAAGATATGCAAACAAAAAAATGTAGATAACAAGCAGTAGAATGTCGTTGCATCATTCTCGAGTCAGTCTGAAGAGTCATCAAGAGAGGCAGGCTGACGTGGAAAACCCCATGCTAAGAAAGGACGCTCTCCTGATTGGTTGGCCGATTTTGAATTGTTTCCTCTGATTGGTTGACTGATTTTTACGTTGCTTTCCATGGCTGACTGACTGATTTCAAGTTGTTTGACTTTGCTATGATTGGCTGGGCTACATTAATTGGTTTTGAATGTTGTATTTTGATTGGTCAGCTAGTCTGACTATCAATTTATTGGTCGGTTGTTTGGCTGATGGGTTAAATGTTTGGTTGGTTGATTGGTCAAATTAATGAACGCCACCATCACAACTATCAGGAAGCCACAGAAATCTCGATGAATACAAAAATGTGGATGGTGACGTTGAAGATTTCACAAAGGAGATGGTCATGAAGGATGCTATCCCGCTCACCAAAGGACAGCAGGTCAGCTGATTGATTGGCTGATTAATTGGTTGGTGGCTGGTTGGTTGGTTTTTTGATTTACTGGTTGGCTGATTGATAGCTGATTGGTTGGTTGATTGATTAGACAATTAGTTGATTGATTGATTGTTTTATTGTGGATTGATTGGTGAGCTAGCAAGGGATAGATTAGTGGCCAATCAATTTTCTCAATCATTCAATCGACTGACCAATCTTAAAACAGATAAAGAAGTTTTTGCTGACTATGTTTGACTTTAGTTTGCTAAAATGCGTCACATTCATGTTACTCGCATTCTCTGGTGTCTTTGTCTTTACTGGTTGGTTGGTTTGTTGGTTGGTTGGTTGATTGATTGATTGATTGATTGATTGATTGATTGATTGATTGATAAATGATTTTCCAATTGTTAATTAATTAATTCATTCATTCATTTGCTACTGCGCCAGTTCATTTTTTACATGTATTCATCCATCTTCTCATCTGCTCGTTCTTCCATTCGCTATTTCATTCATTCGTTCGTTCGTTCATCCATTCACTTTTTCATTCATTCTTTCATTCATTCATGCAGGCCTGTACACGCCATTCGTTTTTGTGGCCCAGAAGGCAATCAATGAATTGGGTGTCACGGAGTCAAAAGCCAACCTAATCCTCTCTGTCCTCGGTGTTTTTAATACTGTTAGTTGATTGGCTGGCTGGCTGCTTGATTGATTTATGGCTGCTTGATTGATTGATTGGTTGGTTGATTTGATTGGTTGGTTGATTGATTGATTGGTTGGTTGATTGATTGGTTGGTTGGTTGATTTGATTGGTTGGTTGGTTGGTCAGCGTTTCCCATCATCGCCATCAGGTTTCTCGTATTGTTACTGGTTTCGTCTCGGATTTGAAAAGCGTTGACGTCATCGTCGTTCAGAACGTGGCGGCCATCTTGGCGGGAATTTCCACCTGCCTGTTGTGTGTCCTCAATTCCTATTGGCTGCTGTGCATCTACGCGGCTTTCTTCGGTATTACCATAGGTTGGTTGACATTTCTGTCATCTTTGTTGCTTTTCAGGAGATTTAACACAGTAATCAGCCTATCACGTCGCCGTCACAACATCGAATGATGACGTCAGAACAGCGTCACCACATCATCATCATCGTCGTCGTTATCACACCACCATCATCATCATCGTCATCACCATCATCGTCGTTATCACACCAAAAGCTGCCTACATAGCGCTACGTTCGATCGTGATGGTGGAGATGTTGGGCTTGAGCAAGCTGAACAACGCGTTCGGACTCACTGCCCTCTTCCAGGGCGTGGCCGTCCTCATTGGCAGTCCCATGTCCGGTTAGTTACTGCACGTCTTTGTTGGTTGGGTGGGTTTTTAAGGGTAGGGTCATCTTACTTCATATCTAGTTAGTTAGTTTAGAGGTACTTCATTTCAATAATTGAGGTATATATGTTCCGTGTTTATCTGTTCATTCATTCATTCGTACCTACTTACATACACACACATACATTCACACATACGCACACAGGCGCTCTCTACAATTCAACTGGAAGCTACACAGCCTCATTCGTCGTCTGCGGGATCCTGATCAGCTTGGGAGGTGTCATTTGCATCCCGGTTAGGCGGATAGCGAAATGGGAAAATCCGAAAAACGAACCGAAACTAGAAAGGTCGATTGGCGGGAATACTCCGGCTGGAAATACACCGACTTCCGAAAATAATCAGCTGATTAAGGATAAAAGAGATGACTCTGGAGTCGTTTGATTGGTTGGATGATTGTTTGGTTGATTAATTGATTGATTGAGTGAGGGAATGAGTGAGTAAGTGAGTGAGTGAGTGAGTGTGCACGTTCTCGGACAGGCTGGTTGGTCTTCAAATTCTCTCAAAAAAAATTTATGGAGGGTTAAAATACATGTCTGTGCGAAGCGTTCAACATGGATAAAAGTTGAACCCGGATATGATTATTACTTTCTTTATAGTTCTAATCAATTATGGGTTCAGTGAGTGAGTAAGTGAGTGATTGGCTGGATGATTAATTGATTGATTGATTGATTAGTTTGTTAATTGATAAGTTGATTAAGTAATTGATAGCGACTGTTTTATATGTGTTTGTACTCATTAATTGTTTCATTAATAGATTGATTGATTGATTGATTGATTGATTGATTGATTGATTGATTGATTGATTGATTGATTGATTGATTGATTGATTGATTTACAGCTAAAACAATGATAGATGGTCATCTTTTTCACATTACCTTTAAAGGGAGCTGGCATGTTATGTTTAGAATTTTATGTAGGTGTGACTGTATATGTGTAAGTATGCATGCATGCATGTATGAATGAATGAATGGATGGACGAGTAAATGAATGAATGGATGGACGAGTGAATGAATGAATGAACGAGTGAATGAATGTCCTTCTTTGTATCTCCTATCAATCATCTATATGTCCATTGATTCTGATAATTATTATTGCCATGATTATTATCATTATTGTGATGATGATTATTATTATGCCTAATTATATTATAATATAATTAGTGGTGTGTGTACCTTTTAGTTATATATTTTTTCGATTTTATTACAACTGAGGATTGATTGGTTGATTGATTGGTTAATTGATTGATTGATTGGTTAATTGATTGATTGATTGATTGATTCGTCGTATTCGTCGCCACTCATTCTCTCTGCCAATACCAATATATGATGATAATAACAATAATTATTATCATTATTGTTACTATTGTTATTGCTGTTGTTATTGTTATAAATGCTGTAATGACGTGGAAGATGTTTGGGTCAAAAATTTTTGTATCTGGAATTGCCCAACTCCTAACGACAACCACCAGTCGTTACGAAAACGATACGATAATTTCCGTTACCACTGGCACCTGGTGCTCAATGGTAACGGAAATTATTAATTATAGGTCCCTGAGGTCGCCCAAAAAGGTCCTGGACCATACGGGAGGACGTTAAGGAACTTGGTCTCAAGGAGACAGACGCATTGGATAGATCGGCTTGGAGACAAAAACTGATGGATGGGATAAAAAAAAGTTCGGCCCATGACGGATGGAGACTATAAACGAGGATTGATTAATGATACTGTAGTTTTTCATTATTGCTATAGTTACGTTTTCAATCTTTATCGTTTATTTGACACTCTTTTTCATTGTCTATGCATTCTTACAGGTATTTTACATAAATATTATATATATATTTATATATGTAAATGTATATAAATAAGCCTCATGCTGGGGTGCACTGGCAATGAGGCGCGTCCCCAGATGGTTGATAGGGGAATGTCCTGGACAGGAAGACCTTTTAGGATAGCATCGAATAATACAGAATAAGATGCCGCGAACCAACTGCACGCTGCCTTGTATGCTTCCAGCAAAAAGGCTAGGCCCGCTGGTGGTTTTTTTCGTTAGGAATTGGGCAATTCCAGATATTAAAAAATTTTTGACCCGAACATCTTCCAAGTCTTCCATGTCATCGAGACAGAAACTGATGAGTGGAATAAAAAAGTCCGACCCGTAACGGACTTTTTGACCCGAACATCTTCCAAGTCTTCCATGTCATCGAGACAGAAACTGATGAGTGGAATAAAAAAGTCCGACCCGTAACGGATTGAGACTATAAACGAGCATTATATATATACATATATATATATATATTATGTGTGTGTGTGTGTGTGTGTGTGTGTGTGTGTGTGTGTGTCTGAGGGTGGGTATAGGTGCGTGAGTGCGTGTGTTTGTGTGTGAGCGGGAGTGTTTGCGTGAGAGTGTGTGTGGGTAAGTGTGCGTGAGTTTGTTTGGGTGAGTGTGCGTGTTTATGTGTGTGTGAGTGTGTCTATGTGTGTGCATGTGTATGTGTATATATGTATATAAATATTGTATTCTAGGAGCGTTAACCAGGGTACAGCGGGGGTGTATGTGGAGGGGCACATATCTATGTGTAAGATGTCCATTCACTGGGCTGTTCCCTGAGACATGTGGCCATGCCCTATATGTGTATGGTGTGTGGCCATATTTATTTATGTGTCTATTTATTTGAGTGTGTAAGTGAGCGTATGTTTGGTTTCCAGATCATTTCATTTCATCGATTCTGTTTCTTCAGTTCTGTATAACAGTATTGTGATATGAATTGTAGTATGGTGCGTGTTTGTAAGTATGTGTGAGCGTGAGTTTATGTGTATGTATTTCATGACATTTCTGTTACATCTATAGTTAAAAATTTTAGTTAAGGGTGGCCTATCCACAAGTTTATCTTTTTTGGTCATCCTTCAAATCAAATAAATAAAAAAAAAATAAATATATACTAAAATATTTTAAATATGCTCTCATTTTTACAATTGTCACTAGTAATCATTACAAGAAAGCCATATTTTCTTTTCGATTTCCAGATCATTTCTTTTCATTGATATCATTTCTTTGTTTTGATTTGATGATATAAAAAGTGTCAAATATATATATATATCATATATGTACCATAAATCATAACACATTTTCAGTATATTTGTGTTATATATATGTGTGTGTGTGTGAGTGTTTGTGTCTATCTTTGTTTTTGCTTTCATCCCATCATAGGCTATTTGTCGATGTCGTTGCTTGTTGTCGTTGTATTTTGCTTGTTTCTAGGAGTCATTGTTATTGTTGTTGTTATAATTTCTATGATTGGTTTAATTGTGATTATTATTATTATTGTTGTTGTTTTTGCTTTTTTTGGCATATTTGTCGTATACTTTAGCCACTTTTGGGTTTTTCGTTGAACTTTCTGTAATGATAATTGGTAATAATTATTGTTATAATATTTCTTTGTGTGTTGCTGTTATTATTTTTACTATTGTTATCAGTCATTCGTGTTCTAAATGTAGTAGTACAACGGTATTTTAAACCTGAAATTGAAAACCTGTTGTTTCTATCTATCAGTTTGATAAAATAGCCATTAAGAATAATAGATAGATAGATAGAAAACAAATGGGAAACAATTTATAATAGTAAATACATGCGACAATGAATATATTAATATATAATAGGAATGTGTGTATATGTATATATATATATATATATATATGTGTGTGTGTGTGTGTGTGTGTGTATAAATATATATAAATGAAATAAATATATGTGTGTATATTGGAATGAACGTATATATGTGTATATATATATATATATATATATATATATATATATATATAGATAAGATAATGATAATTATTACATGCCTTTGTGACGTAGAATTATAGTCATTTTATTTAGTTTGCTCCCTCAATAATTTTTTCATCCGTTCTTTCTTTTTATCATTCATTCATCTAATCATTCATCCAATCATTCGTCCAATCATTCATTCAGTAGTGCATTGTTAGTATGCTCAGAATCTGAATGTTTAAAATATACGCCCATTTTGTAAGCAAACCACGAAAACTAGATAGCAATGATGATAATAATAGTCACGTGCTGACGATGACAAAGATGATAAGTAGGGTGATGATGATGATGGTATGGGTAGCATTTTTAAATAATCAATATAAACTGGGTAATCGAGCTGATTTCTCGAAAGGCTATTGGTCCGTTTTTGACCTAGATAATAGAAGGCCTCTTCTGATAGGTCCTTAGTTGAGGTCGGCGATATTTGGGTATGACCTATTTGCATGAGGATGATTATTATTTTCTCATCTATCAATATATTTTCATTCATTCGTTTAGTTATTCACTTATAAATTCATTCTTTCATCCATTTGTTCGATATACTTTCAATCAATCCTGGAGTCTCTATTTTTAGGACGGCTGGGCTTCCCAGATTTCGATTTTTGTAAACCGTTTGAACTCTGACCTCGTATGATGTCGTTTTCTCAAGGTCACTTATGTAAACGTATGTCTTGTTCTTAATAAATAATAATAACAGTTATTGTTATTATTATTATTGTTGTTGTTGTCTTTTTTATTAGTTTCAAAATTTATTTAAAAATACCTTAGGCAATGATATAGACTGCTTCTTCGCCATTGGCTGGTTGGTTTTAAACCAGGTCACCAAAGATCCCTGGCTATTTTTAGAATCTTTTCTCAGGAGCTTCCAGGTTACTTTTGCCGTGACGTTGCTACCGATGATGACGTAATTGCAGCTTAGTTTTGTGGGTGCGTTTTGCTTTTTTCTAACTGTTTTTTTTTTTAAATAAAATGTCTTGAATATTTAAAACTATTCAATCATTTTTTAATCGTTCATTAATTCGTCCATGCATTCATTCTTTCGTTCGTTCATTCTTTCATGCATTCATTCGTTCATTCTTACTTTTATTTATTCAATTATTCCGCAAACCTTTCTTCGGACAGATGGGTTTAAGCGTCCCCTGAACGAAAATTTCGCGACAAGAGGGCACGCTGATTACGTCGTTTCCAGAAGTGATTGCGTCCTTTCCGGAAGTGGCTGACTGACCGGATATGGAACGAACGATCACGTGGTAGCGACAGTTGAATTGGAGGTCATAGATTGTGAAGTTATTATCCTGGAGATCATTATCACCGTCTTCGTAATCATCATCATCATCGACGTTTCTATCATCATCATCATTCTTATCATCATCATTACCTCCGAAATTGAAGAAACGCTTTGCCATTGTAAGTGGCGACCACCATCGTCATCATCGTCGTCATAAATAGTATCATCATCATAATTATTATTATTGCTATTATTATTATTACCATCATCATCAGTAGTTTTTGCTTCATGTTTACCAGTGAAGTCCTTAAAGATATTTTCATAACTTATGAAAATATTCTTATCGTCGTCAGCGTCGTCGTCATCATTCATAGTACTATTTCTGCTTTCCTCCTCATCATCATCCTTGACGTCATCATCATCGCCAGTGACGTCATCATCATTACTACAATCAATCGGATACCAAGTTACGGCATATTTATTATCTTTGTTATCACCTGATGATGATGATGATGACGGTACCAATGATGATGGTGCTGGTGGGGATGGTAATGATGACGATGATTCATACAATGACGTCGTCCAAGACACGTGACATCGGACGAGTCCATTTCGAAAATATGGCCGCTCGAAGTTCAACGTCATCGAAGAGACTGAAAATAATGACGATGGGGACGATGAATGTGGTGATGGTGATGATGATTTATATACTTCATAATCATCTTCACCGTCATCATCATCATCATGTTTGCCTTCTTCTTTGTTATTCTTGTTGTTGTTATTGTTGCTACCGCTATTATACATATCCATGAACATCAGCTGATAATCATGACTCAAAACATTAGCAGCATTCTGGGTTTTTCCGAAATCTCCCGGGTTAAAATGATCTCCGGGATTAAAATAGCTTCCTGAAGTTCTTATGCTTTCTTGTTTTGGGGTTTTCCCAAGTTTCATTTTTTTAATTTTCGGTCCGCTTAGTATTGTTTTAAGTTTTGGACTTTTTAGGCGATGTGTTTTGTTTCTATATATTGCCTGTGTTTATGACGATGATTATTTAAAAATAATTAATGTTGAAAATTATAATAAGGAGGTCACTAGCCTGTAACCTGACCCAGTAATCGAAATCTAGGTCGAGGTCATTGATCTTGTAGGTCAGTGAACTTGGCGACAGTGCAATGTTGTATTCGCTCATAAATGACGTCAACATGTTTGATCTACCAACACTTTTGCCCCATGATAACTTGGGTGGATGAATGGATGAATGAGTGAATGAATGAATAGATGGATGAATGAATGTTAATTACCTTATACTTGACAAGTTGGAATCCTACAACGTCATCATCATCGTAGCCAGCAGCTACACCATCTCCAGCATCATCATCAAGATTTTTGACCTTTGAAGCTTGAGGTCGCTGCCAGCCAATAAGAGTTGAAAATTTATTCTTGACCAGGTCAATGGAAGAGTCCATTTCCGTCAAATTGAGGGGTGGACCAGGTGAAAATAATTTCTCTGCGCATGTCTTAAATGTAAAAACCAGAAAAAAATGTAGAATTTGAAAAATATTTTAGGCATCAAAATTGTGTAATGGCTAAGACGCCTGGTTCTGCCATCATTATCAATATCATCATTTTCATCACAACCATCATCACCATCGTCGTCGTCGTCATCATCCAATCAGCCTCATCTGGTCATTAAGTTGTGCTGGCCAGCTAGTTCCATATGGGACATTATATGTGTGTGTGTGTGTGTGTGTGGTGTTTGTATGTATGTATGTGTTTTATAGTTTCATTCCTTTTTCTCGATTCTATTGTTTGCAACACGTTCCGACGGGATGAATGGAAGGAAGAATTAATTAGTATGTATATCTGTCTATTTACGTACGTGTGTGTTTGTGTATGCGTGCGTTGTGTGTATGTGTGAATTTTTTTATGTGACCAATGTAAACTGTTTTTATGCATTCGAGGTACATTTAGATTAATTTATTTATCACTTTCCTTCCCCCTCCTCTCTCTCTCTCTTCCTATCTCTTTTTGTGTCTTTTTTTTCTTTCACATCATCATCTAGTTACAAATTTTCGCTTCGCTTTCACTTCTCTCTCTTTCTTTCTCTCTCTCTCTCTTTCTCTCTTCCTATCTCTTTTTGTGTCTTTTTTTTCTTTCACATCATCATCTAGTTACAAATTTTCGCTTCACTTTCACTTCTCTCTTTCTCTCTCTCTCTCTCTCTCTCTCTCGTAATTGTTTTTGTTCATCACTTTGTTGCATATTATTATCATAACTTAATTCATCATCGTCGTCATCATTATCATCGTTGTCATCATCATCCTCGTCGTCGTCATCATCATCACCACAGCGTACGTCTGATCAATTAGGAATGGTTGTTTGTATAGCGCCTATAAATCTACTTAAAGTTAGGAGTCGTGGTCATCTTACTTACTAAATGCCTCAGTTGTGATAGTGATGATGACGGTGATGATGATGATGGTGGTGGTACTGCTTTCGTTTATGAAGATGATGATGGTGGTGGTGATGATGATGGTGGTGGTGATGATGATGATGGTGGTGCTGATGACAACCGAAATATAAATAGCAAGTGTGCATGGAAGCTGCAATAATATTTTTTACACCATCAGCTATAGCCCTCTCAAGCTATCAGGTTTCAAAGTTAAAAATTGTCATCAATTCTACTACTGCTACCACCACCACTACTACTACTACTACTACCAATAAAATTAATAATAATAATTTATTCGAGAGAATTTTAAAACAATGCCTACCTTGTATAAGTAGAAAACGACAACGATAGCATAAACTTTAACGATTTTTTCAATCATAATAGTCGTAATAATAATAATTACAATAATTATTTATTATTATGATTATTAATTTAATACCCTAAAATACACACCGAAGTGTAAAATAAGCAAACAGGAAAAAGAAAAACACACACATGATCTTTTTTATAACCCTACGATGATGTCATAATGATGCCACGCCCATTTAAATTTAAACTGACCAATAGGAGAGCAGATAAGTAGTTGATTGACGTTTTGATTGGTTAATGGAAACGTGTAGATATATTTTCCTCTTTTGTATTTTGCATATAATAATCAAAGTTTGCAATAACAATTATGATTAACATTACTGCTGCTACTACTACTACTGCTGCTGCTACTACAACTGCTGCTACTACTACTACTGCTGCTGCTACTACAACTGCTACTACTACTACAACTATTACTACCAATTACTAGATGCCATTACGTTTGGATATCAGTTGGATATACTCGATGATTCAAACAACTGATCGTTATTCACTCACTTTCATCTACCATATTAACCTACCAAATGCGTCATGAATGGAATTAACAGTTCTACCTTCAAGCACGTACGTAAGAACGTTCGAAGATGAAAAGTTTCGGTTTTGGTGCTGCTAGGGAAACTCTCGCGAAACGAGTATCGGTATCGGTCTCGACGATATGTTTTAAAACCGGTTTCGGTATTGGCGATACAATTCTTGAGTATTATTAGCAACCATGCAAGTACCAATATTACTGCTACTTAATCACCGAAAAATTAGATTTAAAGTTAACTCGATCAATTATGGTAGCTCCTATGTTTAAAGGGAAAGAGAGAGAGAGAGAGAGAGAGAGAAAAGAAGAGAAAGACGGAGAGGAAGAGAGAGTAAAACAAGTTACACCGAAGTAGCTAAGATGCTAGTAGCTAACAATGCAAGCGAGGCTGAAAAATGTTAATGTTAACGATGAAGATGATGATGTTTTTGTTTTTGATGATGATGGTGATGATGAATTTAAACAATCTCCATCATCAATCAACATCATCAATTTCTTCTTCATCATCATCACCTTAGTCATCATAATCATTATCGCCAATGTAGTTGTGTTTGTTTTCAAAATTATAATAAAAGATATGTATGTACGTATGTATGTTTGTATGTATGTATGTATGTACGTATGTATGTACGTATGTGAGCATGTACGAACGTATGTATGTATGTTTGTATGTATGTATTGTATATATAAGATTAATGCCATATATCCATCTTGTGTTTGTTTGATAATCATATTGTTTATATATATTTTTGCAGCTTTAACGCATATTTATTACAGTTAATATAACAATAATTATAAAGATGTTTAATTATAACTGAGGTAGTGTTATTATGAATAATTAATTATTCCATTGATTTATATTATTCGTTATTGTTGGTCTTATTTTTATTTGGTTAATACTTAACTTAATAATAATAATAATGTTATTATTATTATTATGATTATTATTATTATTATTTAAACTTTTTGAAAATTTAATCCAGTTTATTTGTAGCTCTGAGTTCATTAGTTTTTGTAGTAAGTAGTTGGAGTCTGATACGCTAATATGAATAACTCAATAATAATTATAATATAATTAATATAAATAATATAATATAATCATGATGTCAAAAACAACAACAACAACAACAACGACCTCAAACTCAAATCTCAACCTTCTAAAATCTCTAATCGATGCGTCTAACAACCTCCCACTGGACCCCCACGACGACGAACAACAACAACAACAACAACATCAACTGGACGATAATATGAGTATCTGCTCTAGCCAATCCAGTGGAGCCAGCGACAGATCTGCCGGAAAACCAAAGAAAAAAATACGGCGAATCAGATGCGAGATTCACTCTAAAAAACACAAGAAAGATCTCCCATCTGAGATGTCCGACGGCCAAAAAAAGACCACAAATAGTAACGATAACCTAATTTGTACGTGCTCTAGTTCGGTTGGGGGAAGACTTCGTAGAAGACCGGAACCGGAAGGTGGTTGTTTAATCAATATGGCGGATAGTATTTCCGGTGGCAAAAATGCGTTATTCAACAACAACAACAACAGCGTTACAATGTTGGAGATTGATAAAATATTGTTTGGCGATGAGCCATTGTTTTCCGATAATGAGGACAACAACAACAACATCTTAGATACTGCTTTTGATATTGACGATGACGTCAGCAATAATAATAATAATAATAATAATAATAATAACAACAACAACAATAAAAACAACAAACAAACCAACAACAACAACAAATATCAACATCAACAAAAGCAGCAGCAACAAAAGCAGCTTTCCATAGAAGAGCAAGTTAAACGAGAGTCGGACAGATTTCACAAAAGGTTAGAAAGATCGGGAATCGTCGCATCTCTACCAACTTCCGCCGGAAATGCAACCGGAAGTACGGGGGGTCCAAACTTGGAGACCATCTTCAGCTCCGTTCAGATGCTGAATACCAACACGTCCATCAAATTCGCCATTCTCCATACGGAACTTAAAAATATTAAGGACAGATCTTTAAAGAGAGTTATTCACAATTTTTTTCATTCTTCTTCTTTTTCTTTTTATTATTATTATTATTATTAGTAGTAGTAGTAGCAGCCGTAGTAGTAGCAACCGTAGTAGTAGCAGCCGTAGTAGTAGCAGCCGCAGTAGTAGCAACCGTAGTAGTAGCAGCCGTAGTAGTAGCAACCGTAGTAGTAGCAGCCGTACTAGTAGCAGCCGTAGTAGTAGCAGCCGTAGTAGTAGCAGCCGTAGTAGTAGCAGCCGTAGTAGTAGCAGCCGTAGTAGTAGCCGTTGTTGCTGCAGCACTATTTCTTATACGCAAATCGATACAGAAACTAATACCCTTGTCTCTAGACTTAGCAGTTATGTTAACGACTTCAAAAATTTTTGACTGACGGCCAAAATAAGATATTAAACGGTAAAGATAACTTGAAAATTAATTTTTTTACACAGATAGAGACGGAGACTAACTCGATCCTTAGTAGATTTAGTGGTGTGGACGAGATGTTAACGAATTCCAAAAATTCCCTCTCTACCTTTTCTCTAGATCTGCAAGCTGTCGCCGAGATCATAGACGTCATTTTAAAGTTGTTGTTGTTGATGATGATGTTGTTGTTGTTTTTGTTGTTGATGTTGTTGTTGTTGATGTTGTTTTTGTTGTTGATGTTGTTGTTGTTTTTGTTGTTGATGTTGTTGTTGTTGTTGTCGTCATTGCCTCTATAAATATCATCATCGTCATCAACAACAACAACAGCAGCAGTATCATCATCGTCGTCGTCATCATCATCATATCATCATCATCACAAATTGCAACATCACCATACCGCTATCGTCAACAACAACATCATCATCGTCGTCGTCATCGTAGTCACAAACATGTAGGTACAGATACAACGTATGCATGTATTGTGTTCACGTTGTTTTAAAAAGCATAATTCTACATAATAACACGCTGAATTCCTGAAATTGCTTCTTTGTTATTTCTTCCTTCTATCCATCATTCCAATCATTCATTCAATCATCCATTCATCCATTCATTCGTTCGTTCGTTCGTTCGATCGTTCGTTCGTTCGTTCGTTTATTCATTCATTCATTCATTCATTCATTCATTCTTTTACACATTCCTTCGTTTATTCATTCATTTATTTACAAATGTATACATTCATTCGTTCGATCTATTCGTCATTTACTTGCCTACTCACTCATCCATTCGTTTATTCATTCATTCACTCACTCACTCATTAATTAATGCATTCTTTCATTCCTTCATTCTTTCGTCCACTCTTTTCCAGTCATCGCGATTCGATCGATTTGTTTAATACGTACATTCACCTTTCCTATAAATTAAATCTTCAGCTCGTCCCATTCTAACTCTTTTATTCTTTATATCAATCATTAATATTTCTTTTACTGATTTCTTTCTTTGTTCGTTCATTCGTTTGTTCATTCATTCTATCATTCATTCATTCACCCATCCATCTTTTATATATTTATTCAAACCATCTACATAACAAACATTTTTTTTGGAAAATGACAAAATAACCGATTCTATGTAAACAAACAACTTTGTAAAATGAGATGAAGAGAGAGAGAGAAAGAGAGAGAGAGAGAGAAAGAGAGACAGAGAGACAGAGAGAGAGAGAAAGAGAGAGAGAGAGAGAGAGAGAGACAGATTGATAGAATAGATAGATAAATAGATAGATAGAGGGAGAGAGAGAGAGAGAGAGAGAGAGAGAGAATGAGAGAATGAGGAAAAAGAGAGAAAAAAAAGAAATAATGAAGGAGAGAAAGAGAGAGAGAGAGAGAGAAAAAGTTTGGTGGAGGAATCCTATAATAGAATGAATTAATCAAAAAGCAATGAATGAATGAATGAACTTATGAATGAATGAATAAGTGACTGAATGGATAAATGAATGAGGAACGAATATATGAACGTTACGAAATTTCTCTTTTTTTATCGTTCATGATTCGCCATAATGATTATCGTTAATTATGTTATTATGTTTAATAATAATTATTATTAATGCTATTATTATTTCAAGTTTATTGTCATTCTTATTATTTAACAGGAGAGAGATTGAAGAGTTGGAGAGTATTAAAAATTCTCGGGATGAAATTGACTACAACACGTTTTCACATAAACGAGTAATAACCGTTGTTTTCATCATCATCATGATCATCATCATTATCATCATCATTACCATCATCATCATCATCATCATCATTATTATTATTATTATTATTATCATCATTATTACTAACGTCATCGTCATCATCACCGCCACATAGGTTTATTGCGAAGAGGACCTATTTATCATTGATGAAAAATTATGCCGACTTGAAAGGTCGGTTGATTGATTGACCGATTGTTAAACGAATGAATGGATGGATGAATGAATGAATGAATTAATGAATGAATTAATTAATTAATTAATTTATGCGTGAATGGATGGATCGATGGATGGATGTATGAATGAAAACTTTTCCTTCAGAAATATCAAGTCGTCAGAAGCCGATATGAAAGATGCAGTAAGGAAATGTTTCCATTAATTAAAAATTCATTCATTAATTTATTTATTCATTCATTCAATCATGCATCAGCTCATCCATCAATTCACTCTCTCATTCATCTATCATTCGTCTATTCCGTAATTTATCCACACATACGTATTCTTACAACTAATTTTCCATTCTTATCACACGTAATTCATTCATTCGCCTATTCATTCATCCATTCATTTATTCATTCATTCATTTCTTCGTTCATTCATTCATTTATTCGTTCATTCATTCGTTTATTCATCCATTCACCCATTCATTCATTCATCAAATCAATCTTTTATTATGTCAGCCACTCATTCATTCATTCGCTCTCTTGCCAACTGCAGGGCATAGAATCATTATCAAAATGGAGACGACTGTCGTTGAGAATTTGTAGTTGCCTGGAACGAGAACAACAATAACAACATCAACAAAAATTTCAACAACATCAACAACAATTTCAACAACATCAACAAAAATTTCAACAACATCAACAAAAATTTCAACAACATCAACAACAATAATTTCAACATCAACAACACCATCAACAACAATTATTTCAACTACAACAATTTCAACTACAGCAACAATTTCAGCAACATCAACAACCACATCAACATCATCTCCACCATCCACAAAATTGATGATGGAGATGATAGTGATAAGAATCTCGTCATAATAAAATTATGAATGAGTGAACATACTAACAAATAAATGGAGGAATGAAGGAACAAATGAATAAAAAAACGAACGAATGAACGAACGAACGAACGAA